CATTTTCTGTAAAAGAACAACAACATTTAATCGAGCCCAGGGTGATTACAATAACTCTATTACAGGGTTGCGGGGTTCGAGCTTGCTGGGCTGGCCTGGAACTCATAATGCCAATTTGAGGCAGCCCTTAATAAAAAGTAATACAAATATAGTGCACTAATGTTTATACTTTTATGAACAACAACAACCACAAAAAAGAGTACACCTAACCTACATTTCAAGCATGCTTTCGCTATCTGAGGTAGGCTTTTAACATACTTTTAGCGTACTTCGTGGCTTAGTGGTGCGATCCGTGCGTATACTCAACCTGATAAATATGTGTGAATTATTCTATTCGTAAGGTATTCGTAAGCGAATCTACAGCGAACCTATAGCGAACGTTATAGCGATCATCAGCATATTTTAAGGTGTGTTTTATAAAAGTGCAAAAAGTGTAATTTAGGTTATTGCTTTTTTACCATGAGAGCGCTTACTGAATAACAAGAAAATAAACATACCTAAATATTATCATCCTTTATTTTACACTTGTAGTGCAAAAATTATGCACTCGTCATATTTGAATCTGCAGTACTATGAGAAGTGGGAGGGAGTAGTGGGCAGTTTAAGCGGGGTCCAAATGAACTCATGCATTTATGTGAGAGCATTTGCTTGCTACTGTGCTCTGACCTAATGACAGGAAATACTGAACGGTATATGAAAACAGAAGATTGGATCAGACAGCCGGCAGAAGTACAGGAAAGATTAACAAGAATTAGAGTAGCCAAATGTTGAGATCCTTTGTGCTTATATAGAGAACAAGATGCAAAACTCATGGCAGCGGTGGGATTCGAACCCACGCCTCCGAGGAGACTGGTGCCTTAAACCAGCGCCTTAGACCGCTCGGCCACGCTACCGACGATGGTCCTGTTCTTGAGGAAAATGACTGTTGTCTATTTCAATACAAAAAAAATTGCACTTTCTTTGATGTTATAGTCTCTTGCAACATCTTCAATAACACGTTTACACTTTGTGAGCACAGGCAGCGAAAGCACAACGGAAGGTTAATGAGCTCGTGCTCAAGGCGGAGCTTCTCCTATATATATATATATATATATACATATATATTTCTTAAACAGACTACGCTGACGAATCAAACGATAGGCGTTAATTATTCCATGGTACGTTAATCAATTGAAATCCCCATCGACGAAACGCGGAGATTCATGTTATACTAAATGTGCGAGCACATTTTTTCCCCCAGCACACTGCAACTATTGCATTATAAGGTATGTTTTTAAATTGCTTACGATGGGGCCAGCTAAACAAAGAATACACCACAAAAAAAAGAAAAAAAAAGAAACAAAAAAAAAAAACAGAACATTCAAACTGCTGGAAGTTGTGGTTCAATAGGGTTAAAATAGATAAATGGCGTGCTCATTGAATCAACTATAGCTCAGCTTGAAGGGACCATGAAACGATTTTGAAATCGAATTTCATCCACCGCACGTCGTAAAGGGTGTGAAAAGAAAACCAAAACACAAAAAATAAAGAACCAAAACACAAATTTTTGCTATAGAACTTAAAAAGAAAACCGCGGACTTTTTTAGTGAAACGGGGTACATTCTTGTGTACAATTAAAAAAAATGAAGACGCTGCCGGCGGGTTCAGCCAACAGATTGTAGAACATAATGGTACGTTATAATACGACTTCGTGAATTCGCTGCTGAAGAAGCACTTGGATTGGAGAAGGGAGTGGAGACGTCTTGATGTAATTTGGAAGATCAGCGTATAAGTTTGGGGCTAATTGGTATGCAGACATATTTAAAACCAAAGTAGAGCAAATACGAGGACAAAGTAAAAGGTAATTGACAGGGCACAGCGCTATCAGTATACCGTTTGGAAGAACAGGAAACTTTTTTTTTAGAGGTTTATGCGATTTCGCCCCAGAAAAAACAAAAGATTTCTAAAATAAGCCGAGCTTGAGCCCGGATAAAACGTTTCTGTTTTTAACCCATTGAAGACCCGTTTGCTTCCCTTATCACTTCGTAAAACGTGATACCATATCATGAAGTCCCTTGAAAGGGTTAACGATCCCTTTTTCTCACGCTGTATTTTAATTGGTCGGCTGTTTCTGGCCTTGGCCTGGCGGATAAAGGAAGAAATCGAAGGCACACGACCAAGCTAATGACGCGAAGTCTCTGCATATAACCCATATCACGTAGAAGACAAGGCCGCGCGCTTTCTCTCCCGCACGTCATCGCTAGTGGGCCCACGTTGCGCCGTCTTGCTGTCGAGCTTCAGTGAGTTTGCCGCTTGGGGGTCCACTATTGATGACGTCATCCGTAGGCATTGTCTTCTATGCACGTATTTACCTAAAAAAGAACAGCAAAAAAAAAAAAAAAGAAGTCCGGCTTTTTGCAGAGATTTATTAATTTTCTCCTTCGTGCGGTGAAATTAGATATGCATTTTAGATTAGCTATATATTCGTTTATAAAAACGAATACATCTGAAACGACAAACGTATAGATTTTTTCCCCGACAACCAAATACTGTAAGCACTACTCGCACAGCGTGTGTGCACTGTGCGCAAAAATTTTTTTTTTTTTCTTGATGTGACAACAGAGTACAGATGGTATTGATTCGGCATATAAGTGCGACGTGACGCTGAAGTAGAAAACGGGCATTGCGCCGAAGTTTCTCTTCAAAAATTATAAAGTCGAAGATTGTTATCGAAAACTAATAACCCAGCAAACTTGAGAAATGTTTAAAGTACGTGGGAAGTGGGGTTGTGCGCAAAAGTTACCACTAGTGCAACAGGCGCAAGGCTGTCGGTACGAAAAAGGCGCATGAAAGTCTTCATTATCGGTGTTTAAAAAAAAAAAAAAAAAAAAAAAAAAAAAACGACCTTATGTTGGAGAGTCTTTGCGCATTTCGTGTTTGGCAAACCGCTGGTTTCATCAGTCTTGAAGACGCTATCATAGTCAACCATCCGTCACTGTTATAGCGAATCTACAGCGAACGTTATAGCAAACCTATAGCGAACGTTATAGCGATCATCATCACTCTCACGATAAGTTCGATTTCCTGTTTCATGCTCATAACGGGTAATGCGTTCCATTTCTTGCCAAGATAGGTCTTTTTTCTTCATGTGTTTGTTTTTGGAGCTTTCACAGCGGTTGCGATTACGGAGCCCTCTCCCCCCTCCGGTTTCGCGACGGCGTGAGAGTGAACGAATTCAGTTTCCCCGCTAATTGAGCGGAACAATTGACTACACGCGATCTATGCAGCAATTCATTTTCCCCGCTAAATTTGGCGGAAAAATTGGTGTCACGTTACGTGACGTCACAGGACCTACTGACCAATTCAGGTTTTCTGCTAGATTTAGTGGAAAAATTTGGCGACGAAACGACATACAAGCTAAATGCTGTTCCATGGGCCAGCAATATTTGTTTGTATTATTTTAATTTCAAGGAGATACATTTATTTTTATGTGTTTGTATATGCGAGGAGCCTGTCTCATTCATTATTCATACAAAAAAGGAAATGACTGGTATTTGAATTACTAAACGACATCAAAAACCGTAATACGATCATAGCATCTGGAAGAAATCTGTGTAACCTGTTTCTTGTTTTCCGCTACCGACATCTGTGGTAGCGTGGCCGAGCGGTCTAAGGCGCTGGTTTAAGGCACCAGTCTCTTCGGAGGCGTGGGTTCGAATCCCACCGCTGCCATTATTTTTTTTTCAATTTAGTCTTGTAGCAAACAAGGACAAACATTGACACACCAAAGACGAACAGACGACAAAAAAAAAAAAAAAGGTTGAGGAATCATGTTTTATACCCCACTCTGACTCCACTCCACTCCACCTTTGTAACGGGCGAATGGTTGCACCACCTAGTTTAACATTTCATCAAAATATTTTTGTTAATTTAGATAAATTTTGTTTTATCCGCAACCCCTCTCCCCCCCTTTTTTTTTGTTTTACCCTTGCTTATTTTTTTCTCTACTCTCACCCCTCCCTAGATCTCTTTTACCAATCTTCCAATCTCCTCTTAGTTGCCGCAATTCTTTCCCTATCCATCCGTCCATCCATGTCCGGTAAACCCAGTGCCCCCCCCCCCCCCCCCCAAATCCGTAGTCATTTCCCCAAGAGGGTAGGACGAAGCCCCGTGCACCTTAAAATTACGTGTTCTATAGCTTCCCTTTCGCGGTTGCATACGTCGCACAGAGTGTCCATTTCCTGGAATTTAGCCCTATATGTTTTCGTCCTTAGCACCCCCGTTCTAACTTTAAACAGCGATGAGCTCCCCACTGAATTATCATACAGCTGCTCCTACTTTATTTCTTGTTTTTTTTTGCCGTGTATATTGCTAAAGCTGATTTCTCCTGCATTTTCTCTTCCCACAATTTCCTCTCAGTTCCCTTTACTCCCTTTTCTACTGATATGTTCTGATCGGCTCCATCTGGTTGAATGTATTTAAATCTCAGCTTGAGGGTTCTATTTGTCCACTTAGTGTTTAGACTTTTCATGTATAGATACTTGAACACCGCCCTTTCCCCGCCCATCACGTATCCTCAATTTCAGCTAGTTTTTGCTCAATGTTTACTCTACTGATCGCTTCTCTGCTCTCGAAAGATGCCCAACCCATATCCCCCTGTACTCCCTCATTCGGTGTATTCCCATGTGCCCCCAATGCCAACCTATCCACACATCTTTGCTGTATCTCTAAACCTGCCTGGATTTTTGACCTCCTACACAATACCGCATTCCCAAATGAGAGGCCTGGCACCATGACACCCTTCCATACGCCCCTAACGACTTCATATCTGTAGCAGACAGCCTGCTATCATCATCGAAGGGACCATCAAGCCAGGTGCACGGGCTCGCGTGGCTGGCAGCTCGGGCGTTCGGCACCGTATGTCCTGGCGGCCGGACCTGCATAGTTTCGGCTCCTCGAAATAAATATATTTGCCACCTGAACCAGGTTACAACTTTGGCGACGAAAACCAAGAACCCCTGATGACTAGCAGCAGCTCCAACGGCCGAGACGTGGGAGACAGCAGCACCCACCGCTTCCATGGCCCTGGGACGTTCGACTCCGACAAGGAAGAGTGGAAGCTCTATCAGATAAGATTTCAAGCTTGCTTGGACGTCGCGAAGATAACCGCCGACGTCGACAAGAAAAATTTATTGATAGCTTCACTTGGATCGACGACGTTTCAGCTGCTGTACACCCTGGTTCAGCCCCAGAATTTCTCCGAGCTGACGTATCAAGGCCTCGTTACACGGCTCCAGGATCACTTCGCTCCGAGGAAATTCAAGGAGTTCGAGCGAGCCAAGCTATTTTCGGCGCGTCAAGAGGAATCGGAGAACGTAAAGGAATTCCTCGCAAGATTACGGTCCATTATTGCAACTTGCGAATATGAGACGGAGACAAACGCCAGGAACTGTTCACTCTTGACGGCATTCATTGTTGGCCTTCACGATTCCCGCATCCGGGCACGTTTGGTAATGGAGAAGGACCTAACGCTAGACACTGCACTGCGGCTGGCCGAGTCTTATCTCAGGGCTGAAACGGAGTCCCTCCAATTGAATCGTCCTGACCAAAATGCGCTGCACGTCGACAAAGTAAAGCATCCTGCTTCTACCCCAGCCAAGTGTTTCCGGTGTGGCAACAGCAACCACGTAGAGTCTACTTGTCGCTATCAGAATGAATCCTGCAACAGCTGCGGCAAGAAAGGCCATATTGCAAAGATGTGCCACTCCAGCGACCGCAACAAACAACGAGGAAACCGGGAACGGGACGTCAAAACCGTCACGAACGTTTTCGCTACTCGCGATAGAGACGGCGAATTTGTCACCTGTCTCGTCCAAGGAATCCCCGTTGATCTGCAAGTGGACACCGGTTCCAAGCTGACACTACTGAACATTGACACCTGGGAGAAGCTCGGATGCCCGCCACTCAAGAAAAGTGAGTGCAACCTGTGTTGTTTCAATAACCAGGCAATTCCTCTCAAGGGACAGTGCGTTCTCAACGTCACACTAGGCCAACAGACCTCTGCGTTGGAAGCCGTGGTGACAGAGAAGAGACACACCGACTTGCTTGGAAGAACGTGGATTGATGCTCTCAAGATCGACCTGAACCGATTGTTTGTTAGATCCATTGAACTGACTACACGCGCTAAGCTGGAATCAATGCTCACGCGATTCTCGCGCGTGTTCACCGACAGTCTTGGCTGCTGCACGAAGCTGAAGGTTCAGCTACAGTTCAAGCCTGAGGCAACACCACGCTTCTTCAAGCCGAGACCTATTCCGTTTGCGACACGTGCGGCGGTAGAAAAGGATCTGCAGAAACAGATCAACAACAAGGTTATTTCCCCAGTTGAAGTATCCAGATGGGCAACGCCAATCGTGGTAGTCCCAAAAGCTGACGGTTCAGTCCGCGTTTGCGGAGACTTCAGCGTCACCGTAAATCCTCAACTGGACATCGCTCAGTATCCTCTACCACGACCTGAAGAACTGTTTGCCAAGCTCAACGGAGGCAATCGATTCACGAAGTTGGATCTCTCCGAAGCGTACCTTCAGATGGAACTAGACGACGAAGCCAAGCAAGCCCTTGTAATCAACACCCATAAAGGACTTTTCCAATTTCATCGAATGCCTTTTGGAATTGCATCGGCACCAGCCGTGTTCCAACGAACAATGGACCAGGTCACTGCAGGTCTTGATGGCGTGGCTTGTTATCTAGACGACATCATTGTAACCGGGAAGGACACTTCCGATCATCTTCGGAATCTGGAACGAGTCCTCAAGCGCCTCGAAGAATACGGGTTCACTCTGAAGAAAAGCAAGTGCAGCTTTCTTCAAGAGCAAGTAGAATATCTTGGACAAGTGGTTCACGGTGAAGGGTTAAGTCCGTCCCCTAAGAAGATTTCTGCTATCCTCAACATGCCTGAGCCCAAAAATGTCAGCCAGCTGAGATCTCTTCTGGGGATGATCCAACACTACAGTAAGTTCCTGCCAAGCCTGGCCGAAATATCCGCACCACTAAACGCCCTTCTGCGAAAGGACACTGCCTGGAACTGGACCTCCGATTGTGTGGACGCTTTTGACAGGATCAAACAGCATCTATCAGCAACCGAAGCTCTTGCCCACTTCGACCCTGACAAGACGATCTACCTTGCGGCAGATGCTTCATCAGAGGGAGTTGGAGCAGTGATATACCATAAAATCAATGGAAGAGAATGTCCCATCGCTCACGCCTCAAAGACGCTTACGAAGACGGAGCGGAAGTATGCCCAAATAGGCCAGTAGCTCTCAAGTTTTGAGCAGCGCTCCAGGCGAGCGAATAGAATATTTGGCTCGGGTTTCGAACATGCGTCAATACGCTTCCCCACTAGAGTTTTTTTCTACTACGTTCCATTCTAAGTGCCAGCGTAGCAGAGGCTACAAGAGCGAGCCGCGAGCTTTCAGAGTCCCTGTCAAGCACGCGGGCTTGTGCAGTGCGAACATCTTTCAAGAGGACGTGCTTTTGCGAGCAGCTTCGGCTTCGTTATCATGTAAAGTGAAACATACGTGCTCGCGGAAGCTACGAAAGAAGGCAAAGATGAAAGGAATGTTTAATGGAACGCTGCGGCCGCGAGCTGCATAATTTCTTTTTTCTATTTTTATTTTTTTTTAGAGGTTTTGTTATAGCGCATCTTCAGATGCTTGCATTCGAACGTGGCACGTGCCAAATCGAACATTCCAGAGCCACCTGGATGGTTCAGCCATCATAACATGGTCGCGTCTTGCGGATGCGCTCGCGCCCCCTGCCCCAGAGCTACGGGTCTATTGAGAAAGAGGCACTGGCAATCATCTTTGGTGTACGTAAGTTTCACCAGTATCTCTGGGGACGCAAGTTTGTCTTGTACACAGATCATCGACCTTTGACCACTATTTTTGGACCAACCAAGGGCATTCCAGTCACTTCAGCTAACAGACTTCAACGTTGGGCGCTAATCTTAATGAATTACGCCTACACCATCGAGTATGTTCCAACCGAAAAGTTTGGGAACGCTGATGGTCTGTCCCGGTTTGCTGAAGGCCCTGATCAAGCCTTTGACCAAGAGATGTCACAAGGCGTGTTTTCCATTCAATTGAGGTCTGAAGATGTCTTTGCACTCCGCACCGAAACTCTGGCAAAGCTCCCCATCAGGGCAGCTGACATCGCCAAGGAGACAGCAAAGGATAAAACGCTCTCCCAGGTTCGCACACACATTTTGGAAGGATGGCCAACGAAGATCGTTGACCCAAATATTCAACCGTTCCACAAGCAAAGAGCAGAACTTGCCGAGCTCGACGGTTGCATTCTCTGGAATGCTCGAACGGTAATTCCTAGCAAGTTCAGGCCACATATCCTCGATCTGCTTCATGAGGGTCACATTGGTCAAACGAAGATGAAGATGCTCGCGCGATCTTATGTTTGGTGGCCAAGAATGGACCATGAAATCGAAAAACAAACTCAACAGTGCGAACAGTGCGCATCAATATCGGACACTCGACCGCAAATCCCTCTGCATCGTTGGGAAGATCCAGGAACACCCTGGCATCGCCTCCATGCCGACTTTGCAGAATTGGACCAAAAGCACTATCTCATCGTCATTGATGCTTTTAGCAAATGGCCGGAAGTCATACAGATGACATCTACGAAAGCATCAGCAACCATGGATGCCTTCAAAGAAATATTTCAGCACCATGGTCTTCCACAACAGTTGGTAACGGACAATGGCCCTCAGTTCATTAGTTCCGAATTCGAGACGTTTCTGGTTCAAAACGGCATTGACCACCTTCTCACGCCGCCGTATCATCCGAAATCAAATGGTCAAGCCGAGAACTTCGTGAAGACGTTCAAGACCGCTCTTCGTCGCGCAAAAGGCAAGGACAGCCGGAAGAATCTGCAAGACTTCTTGATGCGATACCGCATTACCCCTCATACATCCACTGGGAAGGCCCCATGCGTACTTTTGAACCAGAGACACTATAGGACGGTGCTTGATTTGGTAAAACCCTCGGCCAAACCGTCCAGGTCTCCACAGATCCGCCACTTGAACTCGCGCTCGTTCGCAATTCACCAAAAAGTCTGGATCAAGCACCCTCTGAGAAAACAGCACTGGATTAAGGGTGTGATTCAAGGAAGGGTAGGCAGCGTGATTTTCGAGGTCCTGGATGAGAACTTCAAAGTTCGCCGTGTGCATGCTGACCACCTAAAGAACAGAGTCACATCCGACGCTTTCGAAGCCCTCCTGTTTCCGGTCAGCAGAAGTCCACCGGTGGAACGCACTGCGTCTCCAACGGAATTTCCAACTCCAGCAAGCCCAGGAGCTTCACACCGTAATTTGGAGCACATCCCAAGGTACCCTCAACGAAGACGCACGGCACCGGAGCGCTTCCAGTCTTCGTAATCGGGGAGATGTAGCAGACAGCCTGCTATCATCATCGAAGGGACCATCAAGCCAGGTGCACGGGCTCGCGTGGCTGGCAGCTCGGGCGTTCGGCACCGTATGTCCTGGCGGCCGGACCTGCATAGTTTCGGCTCCTCGAAATAAATATATTTGCCACCTGAACCAGGTTACAACAATATCTATTATAGTTCCACAGTTTTTTACGTTTCATAATAGCTGAATATAGTTTCCCCTTCTTTATTACAATATCTTCATGGTCTTTTAGATACCGTCTTCCTTCACTTAACCATACTCCCAGATATTTGTACTTTTCTACGTGTTCTATTAATGTGTCATATATCTCCAGGGGTTCCCCTTTCTCGTCGTTGAAAACTATTATACCCTACTTGTTCCTACTGAAGTTTAGGCCTAAACTATCCCCTTCCCTGCTGCAAATCCTAATTAGCTCTTGTGTTGTCTTACGATTTTCTGATACGAGTACAATGTCGTCTGCATACATTACCCCTGGCAATACTTGATTTACTTTATACCCTTCTTCCATGTACCTCAGGTGAAAACCTAGATTGCACTGCTCTAATTGTTTTTCCATCTCCCCGAGGTATATCATAAAGAGCAGGGGAGACAATGGGCAACCCTGTCTAAGCCCACTTTTTATTGCTGCTGGTCTTGTATTTTCGGCTTCCCATGTTATAACCACCCTATTCTCCGTATATACCCGTTCTAGGAACTTAACCATGGTTCCCTCTAGCCCATATCCCTTCAGTTTGTCCCAGAGCTTTTCCTGATTCACATTGTCATATGCCCCTTTGATGTCCAGAAATGTTGCCCATAATGGCCTTTGACTTGTCATTGTTATGTCTATGCACTGAGTGATTACGAATAAGTTATCATCTATAGTCGGTTACAAGTCAAGAAGGTAGGAGAAGCTCCTCCCACAAGTGTGATGCGCCCGTTTCAAATCTCTCCGCAGTCGAAAGAGTTCACTGGAAACGCTCCTTGTTCCGCTTCAATGGATTCCCACTTGTCTCCCATCCCACTTTTCCAGAAAGCGACCTTTGTATTCATTGAAGGGGGAACCGAGCCCCTGAAAGCAGCCTTTGTATCTATCGGGGGGGAAGCTAATCCCCCAACTTCGTATTTGTTTCCGTCGGTGGGGGAGAACTCTAATCTCCCTCTCTTGGCTTCCACAATGCTAAGTCAAAGTCGAAAGATAAAGCAAATATGTACAGAAAGGCAACACCCTCCTCGCGCGTTGTCTGCGACGTCACGGAAACGGTGGGACGCTATTGGATGCAAAGGTGGCGGAGGGATATCTGATTCCCTTTGAGGGGCATTTGCCGCTACCTTCTTAACCTGTAACTGACTATAGCCGTCTATCTTTCCTGAGACCGTTTTGAAGCTTCCCCAGAATCTGCTTACTCTCTGCCCATTCTTCCATTCTTCTTTTTACAATTTGCATAGCTAGTCTGTATATTAGTAAAGTTACTGTGATTGGTCGGTATGATTTGATGCTGTGTTTGTCTCCCTGCCCTTATATAATAATCTCATCCCGCTCAATTTCCAGTTCACTGGGTACCTCCCTCCCATAATTATCTGGTCAGTCACCTGCCTTAGTTTCAAGTACTTTCACTTATTTTGTGCAGGGTTGCCAAGCACTCCGCATATTAACCTGCCAAATTCGTGTGTGATATAGCTCAAAGGTAGTCAAACGTCGGGCTATAAAAAATTAGGTCGTTTAGCCCCATATTGAAAACTTTATAGAGGGTATCTAAAGAATCTCCTTGGAATACTTATGACGTAATACATGACATAACACATGTATTTACAAAATGCAAAAAGAAGACCAAACTTTACTAGTTTTTACAAACAATGCCATAGCAGGGGTACATCTCAGCGGTTAAAACGGGACAAAAATAAAACAAAAAGACAACAACTTCAGACGGCAGTACTTCAGGTAAAACTGATGACTTCTCCACGAGCAACACCACTGAGGGCCAACTAAATGTATTTTCACGCCTGTGATTTGGATACTTTCCTTTCAACTCTCGCAAGTTGATCTTTCTTTTCTGCCTTGCTAAAAAGTACCACGTTTTTTGCGGGTATGAAATAAGCCGAAAATAGCCGAATAGCCAACTACCACATTTTTTCGCTAATTACAAAAATAATGAACCCAATTGGGCTATTTGTATCCTAACCTGGAAACCCTGATCTTCTGTGAAGGTTGTCTGAAAGACTATATCACAACCAATGGTACACTATAATTGATTGTGATATGGAAAGCGTGGCGATGGAAGATTGTGGCTGCATGAACGTCTGCAAAATTGGTGAAGGTTGAGTGAGGGTATCTTTTTTATTTTATTTATTTATTCAAGTACCAAGATCACCCGATTGTGATCATTATTGTAAAGGAATAATGCGATACAATAGAGAGACAGACGCATAAAAATACAAAGATATAAACTGAAATTTAGTGACGCAGAAAAATTGACATAGAAATCACATTGTACATCCATTTCAATACAGTAAAAATGAATAAATCGGGCACCATTAGGGGACCAAGGCAATAATTATTCTAGCAACAACTTCTGCAAGACAATACAGAAAAACGAAGGAGCTCTAGAGTCAACTTCAGGTGGTAAATTATTCAGTTCGTGTACTGTTCGCGGTATAAATGTGTACTGGAAAATGATAATTTTACACCTGAATTGGCGCGCCTTAAAATGATGATTTCTGCGTGGGGTCAGGTAGGTTGCTTTTTTAAATTATTTCATTTGTCAATGACAGTTCTAATTGTACCTATGTTATAAAATGAAGGTGTGCCGATACCATTTATTCAGCTCCATTTGAGGTGTGTATGTGTGTTTGTCTCTT